CTTTCTTTCTTTCTTTCTTTCTTTCTTTCTTTCTTTCTTTCTTTCTTTCTTTCTCTCTTTTGCTACTGGACATAGAACCCAGGGCCTTGTGCGTGGTAGGCATGCACCCTGCAATGAACTACATCCCAAGATATTTTTTTTTATCTTAATGAGACAGTGTCCAGGCTGGGCTCAAAATTATCCTGCTGGCTCAGCCTTCTGAGGAGCTGGGATTACAGGTATGCATCACTACACAGTGGTTTTTATAGTTTCCCAGACCATCAGGATGAAGTCACCTGAGACCTTTTTAGAAATGTAAATCCTCAGGCCTCACCCAGACCTATGAATAATAAACTGAGGGTGGGGCCAGCAAGTTCTCTGTTTTACCAAGTTTTTTGGCTTTTACTTTTTTTTTATAAATTAGATTCATTATTTACTTTAACAAAAAATTAACTTAATAAATATTATAACTATACCTACAAAATATCAGATAATACAAATCTGAAAGAATTTTCAAATAATATGTTACTAACAACAAGAAGATAAATTAAAAAAAAAGCAATTAGAAAGCTGGCAGTACATTTAATTTCTTGCACTCTAAGAATCCACAACTGAAAATATATGACAGTTTCATAAATGAATATTTACTTAAGCATTAATTATAATAAGACAACAAATAGCTTGTGTCCAATATTGATGTGAAATATTTTCTAGTAATTTTAAATTATGTATAAAGACTCTAAAATGTGTTATGACATTATGCAACAATAATACACAATTGTTCATATAAAAATCATCTCAAGCATGTATAAATGTTACAAAGTAAGTCAAAGGCAAGGTAATAGGAAGATTTTTTTATCCTATGTTAGCTTTTTCTGCATTTTCCATTTTTTTGTTTTACAAATATGTATCTTTAATCACACAAAAACAGTAAGGTTTAGCTTAGCAGTAGGACTGGTGCGTAGTACATGTGAGGCCCTGAGTTTTATCTCCAGCACTAAAAGCAAAAAATACTACACCAATAACAGAGTCTGATAACATTAACCACAAAGTCCTCACAGTCCACTTGCTTTTATGTATGTAAGATGTGCCCTTGCTTAGAAAAATCAACTTTAAATAAAATTTGTAATTTCTACTTAATTTTCATTTACTTAAAAGATATTCCTGACACAGTCTATTGATAAAACATGAATAATCATTCAGGATTGAAATAATGCTGGAAAAAATTGGTAACACTAAAAGCAAAGGCATCAACCAAATTAAAATCATTGCTTTTTGGTGTGAGAGGCTCTTGTGAGCCCTTTCTTCCTTCTGATTCAAAGGCTCAGAAGTGTAACACACACCATGCTGTCTACTGCTGCTACGTCAAGTGGCAGCATGACAGAGCTGGTAATATTTCCTTCTGGGTCACAGTGCTTAGGCTTGAACCCAGGCTCCACCAAACCGGGTGGCTGCTGGCTTTGGATCCTTAGGTCACTGGGGTCCATTTCTATGAAGTAGGCAAATGCTACTACCCATCTGTCAATGGATTGTTGTCAGAATTAAAGAGAATCAGAGAAGGCAATTAGAAGGTGCGTGGTATATAAAATTTTAATATAGAATGAGGGTAGCAAGATCACATGGAATAATTACTGAAAAATGAATCATATCTTAAGCAAGAAAAAACAACTTGCATAGGTTGTATGAAAATAAAGAATTGTGTGTGTGTGTATCAGATACATTTTGATGAGATTTTGCTTCTGATTTTTAAGTCTTCTCAATTTAATTTTTTTAGCCATCTATAGATTTAAATTTCTGTAAATCATACTGAAAAATACCTGCTTTGTTTTCCAAGCATTTTTAATATCAGACTAGTTCTGTGTTTAACATGTACCCCCTTCACACTTGGTAATAGTTAATATGTTGTTTAGAACAAACCTTAGTAACCTCAAAAATATAACATCCTGAAAGTTAAAGGTAAAGTGCATTTTCATAATTTAATTATACCTTGAAGAAGATAAAGGACAAAGAGCCAGGAAAAGATGACCTTCGATGTGATTTATAACCACTACCAGAAGAAAATGGGGAAAAAAAATGCAACTTGAACAATTCCTTTTCTAGTCAGAGAAGTCCCTGGACTTGCAAGCTTTGCCTTAGCAAATGTAGACCCTCTGACAAGAGCAAAGCCTCTGAGGTCTGGCTTCACGTGTGCCGTTTTCTTTGGCTAGTTCCTTCATCTCCTGATTCCTCTTTGGTCAAAAGACTTTTCCCTATGTTTGTTGATCATAGGCATCAATCTTTAGGTACCAGACTATAGCATCTGTGACTTTGGAGGCTGTTTATTCTGCTGAGTTTACACATTCGTCACGTTAGGCTGGGGAGCGGGAGGCTGCGGAGGGCGCTCTTCCTCCATAGTGTAGCCCCACCCCTGTCCTGGCTGACTTTTAAATGAAATTTTTTAAAAAAAATTAAAAAAATTTTTTTATTTTAAAGAGAATTAAAAAAAGAACAATAGCAAAATGCCAACAACATAGACAAAAACAATAAGAATGATACAGGGTTTCAGAACAAAATGATAAGGATTAACAGCGGTTATTATATTACATATTTTTATCTTTCTCTAAATTGGTCAGATTACCAGATGTAAGAATGCAAGATTAACCAAACCATTACAGAGAATAAAAAAATAAAAACAAAACAATTATCACTGATACAGAGTTTCACCAAACAAGATGACAGGAATTCAACAATGGTGGTTATGTTGCATATTGTTGTCTTCAAATTAGTTGTTCAGATTACCAGATATAAGCATGCAAAATTGGTCAAAAATAAAAAATTAAAGTAATAACTGCTCCTTTCAATAAATCACTAGACATCAGCCGTACAGTTATCCCCTCTATTAAAGTTATAGAGCTGCTTACATCAATCAAGGGGCATTCCTATTCCAGCGAACTGAACTGTTGCTAGTGGTGATCTGAAAGATGCTGGCCTACTCCTACAAGCATGCATTCACATATTCTGCAAAGCTTATCTCTGACAGACGAACAGCAGGACTACAAAACTTCAACAACACCAGCGATTTTCACCAGTGAAGCATAGATCTTCAGACTCTTAATGTGCAAGCTTTAGGTGCATAGAATCATCTGAAGAAGTTGCCAATCAAGGCAGGTCTCCAAGTCACACCCAATTTAGGGACTTGGCATCTCCTGGGGTCTATCATTTTAATCCAGCCACTCAGGATGGATTCCATCAAGCAAGTTGTAGGACAGTACTCTGAGCCGCTGTTTTAGACCTTTTCAGACTTCCTTTTTTTTTTCTTTCTGTGCCCTGACGTTTTTTCTTTCTAAATCATCACTTCCATTCTTGCTGTGATCGATGGGCTCTCAGAGGCAAATTTGTTATCTTTTCTGCTTGGTGCTTGGGACAGAACAGCTCAGATGCAGCTGCAGAGATGTCTTGGGAGTAATAATAGTACTAATGATGGGTGTATTGATTTGCAGCCTTGCATGACGGGCTGGGAATGATTCATCAGCTCACATCCATGGGACACGGCGGGATGTTGGACACTCGATAGTCTGCGAGTCCGTTGCTGTATCAAAGTGCTGCAATTTGGTGATTTAAGGACATCGTGACTTCTTGAATCCTCCCAGCAGCCAAACCTATACTAGTTTAAAAGGAAGAGGTCTCGGGGCTGGGGATTTAGCTCAGCGGCAAAAGCGCCTGCCTGGCAAGCGCAAGGTCGTGAGTTCGGTTCCCGGTACCGGAGAAAAACAAAAAAAAAAAAAAAAAGGAAGAGTTCTCTTCCATATGTTTTTGATATTTACAATCTTTTGTTCCCCCTTCTGATAATATTTCAAAGCCGCAGCCCTGAACTGAAGTGCCCAGGTGGTCAGAGATCTGGAAAAATGCTCAGGATACAGGGTTCAGGGAAGCAGGCATCTGGTCTCATTCTTCTTTGTTCTTCTTAGCACTCAGGTGACTTTATAATTGTTTTTGAAGGAAGTTCTTTTCGTAGCTCCTGAGGAGATTTTCTGCGGAGAAGAACTAACTTTGCTTACTCTTGAGATAATACAACTTCCCTTTATTGGGTATCCACAATGCTCCAATTGTCTCATACGTGAAATACGGTATGACTGTTTCCTAGACCTGAAGAATGAGGCTCAGGCAGATTCTCTTACACACTTAAGTTTCACACATTAAGCGAAACAGGTAGGATGTTAATTCTGGCTGCCTGATCAGAGCCTGTGCTTCTTTCACTGAACCTTCTGGGATTTACATCTTACAAGGCATTTGGAAATGACACTCGGGGTCAGCTTTCCTCCCTGTGAGAAAATACCTGAGAATAACAAATTAAAGGAGGAAAGATTTTTTTTGGCTCACGGTTCCAGAGGTTCCAGTCCAGAGTCAGGCTGGTGGTGAGACAGAAACATCATTTTGGAAGGGCATGGGAGAGGAATGCTGCTCACCTGT